CTGTCCCCACAGGTGACCTTCTGTGACCCCGTCATTGAGAGGAGGCCCCGGCTGCAGAGGCAGAAGCGCATCTTCTCTAAGCGCAGGGGTAAGGACGGCAGAGGGCCGAGCGCAGGGGGAACCGGGCAGGGGCCCCGGCGGCCCCGGGACCGAAGCTCCCTCTTGCTCCAGGTCAGGACTTCCTGAGGGCCTCCCAGATGAACCTCAGCATGGCAGCCTGGGGGCGCTTGGTCATGAACCTGCTGCCCCCCTGCAGCTCCCCAAGCACCGTGAGCCCTCCCAAAGGGTGCCCCCGGACGCCGGCCACGCCTCGGGGGGCTGCCGCCCCAGCCTCACCCAGGTGAGGAACCACCTCCCCCAAGACTGCCTGCTTCGCTGTGGCATCCACCTCTCCAGGCTCTGTCAGCGTCTGTCTTTCTGTCCCTGTTGCTCACCCTCTGACCCGTCTGTCTCTCAGCATGGCTGTGTGTCCAGCCCCCCAGCTATTCCGTCTGCCTGTGCCCACCGTGCGTCTGCTTCCTCCCCACAGCGACGTCCCACCCAAGAAGACCCCCTTGGGAGATGAGACGAGGCCCCCACCCAAGCCCCCACGCCTCTACCTGCCCCGGGAGCCAACCCTCGAGGAGACGCCGGTGAGAGGGAATGGTAGCCCTGGAGGTGCTGGGCAGGGGGGTGGCTGAGCTGGAGAGAGAGAGGAAGGAAGCCCTGCTCCGCCCTGAGCCCCTCCGCCCCCACAGCGCACCAAACGCCCCCACATGGAGCCCAGGACTCGACTCGGGCCGTCTGCGCCAGCCTCAGCCTCAGCCTCCAGGTACCCTCGCCAGGCTCCCTGTCATGTTTAGGTCGTTGTCCGCTCCCTTGAGGGTTTGTGTATCTGTTCAAATATCACCCCACAGCCCCTGGGCATATTCATTGGCTCACTCTCGGGTTCTGACTCTCTGAACCAACAGTACTATTATTGTTATTATTATTATTATTAAAGATCTTAATTTATTGATTTGAGAGAGAGAGAGAAACATTGATTTGTCATTCCACTTATTCATGCCCTCATTGGTTGATTCCTGCATATGCCCAGATCAGGGATTGAATCCGCAACTTGGGTGTATCAGGATGAGGCTCTAAGCAGCTGAGCGACCCGGCCAGGGCTGAGCCGATGTTACTGGACTCCAGCTGTATGCCAGACTCTAGGCGGCTGCTGTCCTGGGAGCTCCACGCGGGCGCTCCAGCCCTGTACATGGGGACAGACCAGGACCGGCCAGGGGCCGGGGAGGGTCTGGACCAGCTCTTGGTGGACGCCCAGCCCTCGTCCCAGGGGGCTTCCTGTGCCCTCTCTCTTGCAGGAAACCCCCCCGGCTTCAGGACTTCCGCTGCTTGGCTGTGCTGGGCCGGGGACACTTCGGGAAGGTAGTGACTGAGGAGGGTGCAGTGGAGGGGGTGGGCAGCCTCAGCACATTAGCTGGGAGGACCCTGCGATCGCTAGGCAGTGGGTGGGGGATGTGAAGGCTCCTCTGTGCTGCCCACCTGCAGCCCAGCCTCCCTGTGGTCCCCAGGTCCTCCTGGTGCAGTTCAAGGGGACGGGGAAATACTACGCCATCAAAGCACTGAAGAAGCAGGAGGTGCTGAGCCGGGACGAGATGGAGAGGTGTGTGCTGATGCCACGGGGCGCCTGGCCTGGAGGGGGCCCCGGATGGCCGGCCTGTGCTCTGGGCACCAGAAGGCTCCTGGGGCTTTGAAGTGGTGGCTCTCTGGGGCCAGCCACGCCTGGGTTCTCTTCTTAGCGCCTGCAGTGAATGGTCCCTGGGAGGGTCTCCTCTTATCTCTGCGCCTGTTTCTTCATCTGTAAAATGGAGCAGTGGTGGTTGTGCAGGTTACACGACCCATGTGAGCCCCTGACACATAGAAACCATCGCTCTGCCCAGCTGCCTGGCATTTGGACTGAAGACGCACTGAGCTTGGGTGACCGGGGGGTGGCAGGGCACAGCAGGGCAAGGTTTTCCTTCCCTCTGACACCCACACCCCCTGCAGCCTGTACTGCGAGAAGCGGATCCTGGAGGCCGTGGGCCGCACGGGCCACCCCTTCCTGCTGTCCCTCCTTGCCTGCTTCCAGACCGCCAGCCACGCCTGCTTCGTGACTGAGTTTGCGCCGGGTGGTGACCTCATGATGCAGATCCATGAGGACGTTTTCCCGGAGCCCCAGGCCCGGTGGGTTTCCATCCCTCGTGTCTGCCCCTTCCAATAAGCCTTCACGGTTCCGTGTACCCGGGCCCCCCACCCTGCTTCCCCCAGGCGCCCCTCGGCAGAGGAGCAGGGAGTCAGGGAGGCCTTGGTTCAAATTCTTATCAACGCTCACAGCATTTGTGACCTTGGGTCTCAGTTTATGTAGCTAGGAATTGGTGTAGTGATAACTGTGTCACAGATTTGTTACAGACGTGAGCATAATATTTATGAATTACGGAGCCCTGGGACCAGGGACTAGGAAGTCACTGGCAGCTGGAGTTATTTCTCGACCATGAGTGTAAGCTCTGGGGTCTGGGCTCATCAGCTCTGCCACCAGCTGTGTGACCCCATGCACGTCACTTACCTGCAGTCTCAGATCCTCAGTTGAAAGACAGGCATGCAGACTGCTGGGAGCTTTTTGCTGGGAGAAAAAGGCGTGAGAATTCGGCCTCGTCCCTGGCACAGTCTAAGTTCCCAGGAAGGGAGTACTGTTGGCCGGCCGCGACCTTGGGACAACCTTGGGGCTGTTCTCTGCAGGACACCGAGCCCCGGCAGGAGGCTCGCCCCACGTCTGGCTCTGGCTGGGAAATCCGAGCCCCCAGGCCGCCGCCATGCTTGTGCCTCCCTGCCCTCCCCCCGCAGGCCTGAGCCTGAACTCCCCCTACGTCTCCTCCAGGTTCTACCTGGCCTGTGTGGTCCTGGGGCTGCAGTTCCTACACGAGAAGAAGATCATTTACAGGTAACTTGTCCCCGAGATGCCAGGGAGTGGCGAGGGAGCAGCGCTGCCCCCCTCCCAGGCTGCCACCCCAGGGGCCCCCTTCATCTGCCTCCCTCGCCCTCAGGGACCTTAAGCTGGATAACCTGCTGCTGGATGCCCAGGGCTTCCTGAAGATCGCGGACTTCGGGCTGTGTAAGGAAGGTGGGTGTCTCCCGTCCCGGATCCCACGTCCTCCAGCCATCCCCTCCCAGTCCGGGCCGGGGGTGGTGGGCGAGTGGCATCTCCTGGGAAATCTCCCCGCCACTGTCTTCCTTCCAGGGACCCCCTGGACGCATTGGTGCTTCCTTCCCAGCCCTGCAAGCTCTGAAGGAGCCATAGCTCGCCCTTGGCCCAAGGGGGAGCCTGTGCTCAGGGCTGGGAGAAGGCACTGGGTTCTGCTTTCCTCATGACCTTGACATGTGAGCTTGGCTGAGACTCTGCTCCCTCCTCCCTCAGATGGCATAAAAACCATTCCCACCTCCAAGAGTAGGGGGCAGGGCTTGGCACCGATTTGGTGCATGGGGACATAAGGGTTGGCTGTTGGTTCTTATAACCACAGAGGTTACTGTGGACCAGACATACTGAACCGGCGTTGGTGTGGCCGTTGGTTTACAGGGATCGGCTTTGGGGATCGGACCAGCACCTTCTGCGGCACCCCTGAGTTCCTGGCCCCCGAGGTGCTGACCCAGGAGGCCTACACACGGGCCGTGGACTGGTGGGGGCTGGGCGTGCTGCTGTACGAGATGCTGGTGGGCGAGGTGAGTGCTGAACCCGGGCTGCAGGGGCCTCCAGGTCGGGGTGAGGAGGGGGTGGCCCAGCACCCTGCTGAGCCCCCATCCCCGCAGTGCCCGTTCCCAGGGGACACCGAGGAGGAGGTGTTTGACTGCATCGTCAACGCCGATGCCCCGTATCCCCACTTCCTGTCGGTGCAAGGGCTCGAGCTCATTCAGAAGGTAACCACTGTCCCTGGCCAGGGGGCTCCATGGGTTGGAGCGCCGTCCCGTCCCGTACACCAGCAGGCCGCGGGTTTGATCCCCGGTCAGGGTGCATAGCTAGGTGTTGGGTCTGATCCCGGTCTGGGTGGGTACAGGAGGTGGCGGATCGACGTTTCTCTCTCTTCCTCTGAAAGCCATTGAACATATTCTTTGATGAGGATTTAAAAAAACTTTATTTTGAAAAAGAAGATAACCACCGCAGGGTCCAGAGCTGGGCCGGACAGCTGTTCCCGGCCCACAGGCTGGCCCATCGCCGCCTGTCTGTGGGGCCCCGCAGCCTGGCTCACTGGGGGTACGCGGGGCAGCCACGCCTGGCCGAGCGCCCTCAGTGAGCCCTGCCCTCCTGCCCAGCTCCTCCAGAAGTGCCCGGAGAAGCGCCTGGGGGCGGGCGAGCAGGACGCTGAGGAGATCAAGACCCAGCCCTTCTTCAGGGTGAGTGGCCACAACCACAGCGGTCCCAGTGGCCTGGCACTGGCAGTGACCTGGCGGGAGGTGTTGAGAGACCATGTGGGCAGCCATTTTTGTGGTCTCAGGCATCTCTGCCCTTATCCCCAGACCACCGACTGGCAGGCTCTGCTCGCCCGTGCTGTACAGCCCCCCTTTGCGCCCACTCTCTGCGGCCCCACAGACCTGCGCTACTTCGAGGGCGAGTTCACGGGGTTGCCGCCTGCCCTGACCCCGCCTGACCCCCGCAGCCCCCTCACTGCCCGCCAACAGGCCGCCTTCCGGGACTTTGACTTTGTATCAGAGCGGTTCCTGGAGCCCTAAGAGCCTCTCCCCGCCTCCCTGTCCCCTGCCGCCCTGACTGATAGAGCCCCCACTTGCCCACCTGTCTGCCCAGCTGCGCACCCCGCCCTGGAGGCCCAGGCCTTGCCTAGTATTCACCAGCCCTCGACTCGAGCTGGGGGCGATGGAGCTGTGTCGCGCTCCAGCCTGTCACTGGGCAGGGTGCTCCCCTCCCCCCACCTCCCCATCCTCTGCCTCCCAGCCAGACCTGGACCAGAAAGGGCAGCACAGTAAGGAGTGGTTTGTTTTGTTTTTTAATACTTGACTTGCTTTATGGATTATTAAATTTATAAAACTGTGCACTGGAGACATTCTGGCTTAGGGGCGGGGTGGAGGTCTCAGAAGCCTGGATCTTGACGCCCTGGACCCACACAGGCCCTCTTCCTTCCCTTCTTCCTTTGGAGGCAGAGATGCCCATGGGCAGGGGTTTTGTTGTTCACTCTGCTCTGAGGCTGGGAGGCGTGGGCGGAAGTGAGGAGCCCCAGGCCCTCGGGTGGGCGCTTTGGTTTTCAGGCACAAGATGGTGGCTCTGCCTCCTGCGGCCCTAAACAGCCTGGCTGCTGCCCTCGCCTTCCTCCTCCTCCTCCTCCTCAGCCCAGAGGGTCTCCCAGGACCCTGAGGGCCATCCACAGAAGAAGTGGGCCAGGTTGCGGGTCAGGCCGTGGTCGAAGGGGTTGCCGGGGCGCTGGCGGAGGTAGGCAATGCGGTGCGAGGAGACGAACTCCCAGGTGGTAGTGTTGCTGGCCACCAGGTAGAGGTGTGAGGCCAGGAGCAGGCCGGCCACCATGGAGAAGAGGGAGAGCAGCAGGAACGTGGCGAACAGGAGCCCGTTGGACCGCAGCCAGAGTCCCCAGGGCTGGAAGAACCGGAGGCCAGACCTGCAGGGCAGCATAGTGATGGGGGCCCAGGGCCTGGGGGGCCCAGGCGGGCAGGCCGCTTGGGAGAGGGTCTGAGGCCCTCGATGAGGGAGCCCTGGCTGTACCGCCTTGTGGGCACATGCTGCCTGTCCCCCCCAACACACACACGGGGCAGTGGTAGAACCCACCATGCCAGGTACGTGCCCCATAGCAGCACCACCAGTTGCAGCGCCAGGTAGGCCACGAAGAGCGGGTGGTTGCGCTCCCCCACACAGTTCTCCATCCAGGGGCAGTGGTGGTCATAGCGGCGGACACAGCGACGGCACTCCCTGCAGTGTCGGGCCCGCAGGGGCTGCTGTGGGTACGGAGGGAGGCGGGCTCAACACTGGCTCTTCTCTGGACCCAACAGCAAGGGAAGGGATGAGGGGAGGCGGTTGGGGCCTGAATCTGGGAGGCCCTCCTGGAGGGGTGAGGCCAAGGCACTGGGGCAGGAGGGGGTCTGACAATCTCAACCTTGCCCCGACCCTCCCAGGAAGTCCCTGCATCACCCACCAGCACCATGCAGTATCTGCAGCGCCGAAGGGGGATGGCCTGAGGAACCATGGCTGTCTGCTCCTCCTTGGCCTCTTCCTGAAAATGCAAGACAGAGCATAAGAGGGGGCCACCTGGGAGGCAAATGTTACTGGTGGGCACATCTTGGGGCCCATTCTGTGTGTAGTGGAGGTGGTAGGGAGGAGCACAGTGCCCTGGACCAAGCCAGGCTGTGACCTTTGTCAGCTGCTTTTCCTCTCTGGGCCTTGGCGATTTCCTCATTGTTCGATGGGGTTCTAGGGCTGGCAAGGGGATTCGCTGCGATGCCCCAGAAAAGCCCTCCACACAGAGCCTGGAATGCAGCTGTTGCTGGTCCTTGGGCCCCATGCTGGTAGAAGGAGGAGTTCAGGTCCCCAGAGGCCCCCTGCTTACCTGGGGCTGCGGCTGGATGTTCACATAGCCTGGGTCCATGAGTGACACAGCCAGGTAGAGCAGCAGGGAGCCCAGCACGAGGAGCAGGAAGGTGAGGGGCAGGAGCAGCTCCCCCTGTTCTTCCCACTGCCGCAGTGCTGGAGGCCAGAGGAGGAGAGTGAGGCCGGGCTGTGGGAAACCGGGGGTGGGGGGCGGGGGTGCATGTGCGCAGGTACAGCTGCTGGTGGGGAGTATGTCCCTGGCTGAGCGGAGGCCTGGACATAGGTTTTGATGAGTGGTCAGATGTGCCTGCTGCATAAAAGTTCAGGACCAAGAAAGAAAAAAAAAGACAGTTCATCTGTACTCTCTGGAGGGCAACAGGGAATCATGGAAGGTTATAGGGTCAGATCTGTTTCTGGAAACCTTCCCAGTGGAGAGAAGGTGGATCGGAGGGGAAGCCTCGAGGCACAGAGAGCTGTCCAGGAGGGAGAGGAAGATGGCTGGGCAAGGGCACAGGTAGGAAGAGTGGAGAGGGGATGGACAGATGGGGGTATGGGGGTGAAGGGACCAGGCCTGATAGGATGTGGGGGAGAGGAAGGAGGGGTCCCTGCCTCTGGCTCCACCAGGCCTGAGATGCCCATGAGACAGAGACAGACGAGGGCGGGGCCCGCAGGCTTGGATGCTCAGATGCCGCAAAGAGGGCCACAAAGGCGGCCCAGGCCAGGAGGGTCCAGCCCGTGGAGATGACTGAGGACTGGGGCCGGGCAGGGAGGCTAAGGCATGAGGGGTGTGAGACAGCAGAGTGAACAACTGTGGTGCCCCTTGATTGTAAGGGGAGCAGAGAAGGGGGTTGGGGGGTCCTTTCTGATGGGGAGACTGAACAGGTTTTTAGGCTAAAGGGCAAAGACCATGGAGGAGACTTGAGGTCTTAGGAGTAAAATGAGAACACCCCCAGTCCGCGGTCTGAGGCTGAAGCAAGGAGGGAGGTGTGGGGGCTGCCAGGGGTGGGAGTGAGCGAGGGTGAGACCTTTTGCTGGAAGCAGCCGTGGCAACTAAAAGGGGGATGGACGTGGGGGTGGGTCGGCGGGGTGAATGAGGATTACTAGGGCAAGAACTAAGGATGGGGACCTGGAGGACCGGCCACTCCCCTATTAGGTGTTCTCTTGCCTGGGGTGGGGAGCCTGGACTTGGGCAGCTAGTGGCCCCAGGGCTGGGCGTGATGCCAGTCCTTGATCTGGTTGATCTTATGGAGGGAAGGTTGGGAGTCAATTCCTGGGAAGGATCGCATGGGTCCTGGGATGGACAGGGCGTCTGGCAGGGATCAGGAAGATGCTGGGATTAATTAGGGATGGGCTGGGTATTAGGCGGAAAGCTCTTGGAATAACAAATGGGGAAGAGGCTTCAGGAGCTGGCGGCGATGGGTTGAATCCCAGGGTCTCTGGCGCTTTGGTAGGAGACCCAGTGAGACTCCAAGGTCTGGGGAACCCACGGGGGATCGGGTGGGTCCGGGGTGGCGCGGGGTCCGGCTCACCGGTATTGTGCAGGAAGAGCACCAGCGTGATCCCCCAGGTCAGTACAGTGTGCCCGGTCCGTACCAGGACCCCAGGGCTGAGGAGCGCCCAGGGCGCCATAGCCTCGGCCCGGGGCCCCACCCGGAAGAAGCGCCTAAAGGGGCGGGCCCTCGAGTGGGGGGGACCGCGGGTGGCCGGGGATTGGCGAGTTCTTGATGTGGGCGGGGCCATGTTGAGCCAGAAAGGCTCCCTATTGGGTGGCAGCTGCGGCCGAGTAGGCCCTCGAGCCAACAGGTGCCTGAAGAGGCTGAGGGCGTGGCCGGCGCGCGCGCGCAGCCGGTAACTCCCCCACCCCCAGTCCGCACCAGCCAGGTAACTTTCGGAAGCTGGAGCAGTTGCTAGACTCCATCCCGCCCGCTGAGCTTCCACCCCTCGCCGCAGCCCCACAGTCTCGCGCATGCGTGCCGCTCCGTGGGCGCCTCAAAGATCCAGGTGTTTGTTTTGACTCCATGTTGCAGAATTATGCGCGGTTCTAGGATGCGATTGATGTCTGAGAGGGACAGCACTCGCCCAGGGTTGCTCCATGGCGGCATTCTTACCTCCTTGCTCTTATTCATTATCAGATATTGCAAACGGGATGAGAGCAAAGTGGTCCGTGGTGTAGATTCTGGCTATGAGGGGATCCACTTGGGTGAGGGTCGGAAATGCCATCGCTGACTGCCCCTTCCTATCTGTGTGAGCGTGGACAAATTACTGAACTACTTACTCTGAGCTGTTCTCTGTTTATATAATAGAGATGATAATAGTATCCTCCTAAGGTGGCTGAGTAATGGAAATACAGTGTCTAGCACGGGACTGCCTAAGCGACCACCCACACGCTGCCAGACTGACTTGCCCCACCTGAGGCTTCATCATTCAAGGCTCATACTCCAACTCTGCCCCTAGGGCCTTCCTTCTCAGCTCTGCCTTTGCACTCACGCCTCCCAGTAGTACAATGTCCACCGTCTTTCTCCATCAGATCGCACCCCCCGCCCTCCCCCCCGCCGCCCCCAGCTCCTCTGGTAATCCTCTTTGGACGTTATTTTTATCAGCTCGACCTTCCTTTTTCTATTGGGGAACTGACTCTTCCCCAACTCATGTGACTCTGAAGGAACTGACCCCTCACTCCACAGGGTGGTGGGAAGTCATTTTGAGCATGTGACTAGAAGGCCAAACCAGTTCCCTGTATCATTGTCCCCAGTGACTAGTCCTCGTTGGAGGGTGTGTGAATTGGCAGAGCCAAAATTTTACGAGAATACGGTATAGCTGCTGAGAGAGAAAGGGGCGTTCTTTTGGATTTCAAGCAGGAATGGGGTATAAGGGCAAATTGGAGAGAGACTGTGGCAGAAGATGAAGACATTTTATGAAGAGACAGACATAAGCAGCACTGAAAGGGGGTCTAACAGTCTTAACGTCATCTGGGCCCCTAGCTCCAGCTATGCCCGGAGCTATACTAGCTCTACGTTCTCTAGCCTCATCCGTCAATGAATTCCCTCCCCCTTTTGAGTAATCTGCGTAGACGTTTGAGTTGGGTGTCTGCCACTTACTATTTCATCTTTTTTTTTTTTTTTAAGGTTTTAGTTATTTATATTTAGAGAAAGGAGAAGGGGAGGAGAAAGAGAGGGAGAGAAACATCGATGTGAGAAACAGCGATCAGTTGCCTTTTGTGTGCACCCCAACCCAGAGACTGAACCTGCAACCCAGGCAAGTGTCCTGACTGGGAATCAAACCAGCAACCTTTTGCTTTGCAGGATGAAACCCAAAGAAATGAACCACACTGGTCAGGGTGCAACTCAGTCTTAATTACTACGATGGGGTATGACTTAGATGAGTGGGGGAAGCTGTAGCTCATGATCCACTTGAAAAATCCTGAAGCTCCCGTGACTCAGTGACTGTGCGGGTGTCAAAGAGAAACAAAGTCAGACACTAGGTAAAGGGGTTAGGACAGATTTTAATCAGCAATATACTGTTGTGGTAGGGAAGAGGGTCCAGAGTGAACTGAATGCCACTTCAGTTTGTATAGAGGTGACTGGGCATTTTACACTGAGGAGCACAGACGTCGGAGAGGGGTGGTAGTAAAGGGAAAAAGGGGCCTAATATATGGTGACAGAAGGTGATTTGACTATAGGTGGTGGGCACACAGTTTAAAGAAAAAAAAAAAAGGACACTACACTTGATTTTAGCCAAAAGGCCAGAAGCGATTGGTGACTGGCAATTTAAACGGAGGGAACTGGGAGGGGCTGGAACAGACTCGGGAAGTGGGATGTTACCAAGGGTGGGGAGCGTCACTGCTCTCAGACCCTCCGCTGTGTCTGTCGCTGGCAGTGGGTGAAGTTAGGCTTCTGTCCTCCCACCGAGACTGGGAGGCAAGGCCCTCCTTCCTGAGGATTGCATTTCAAAGGAGTGGCTTTCAGGTCCTTCAGGAAGACATTCCTCAGTAGCAAAAGACACCAATACAATTCAAAAGGACAGAGGAAGGAGTGACAATTATGAGCCCTTTTTAGTAAATGCTGTGACAGGGTGGTGTGGGGGGCCTGTCCTCAGGTGGTGGCGAAAACAAACAGGCACTTCTTTTAGCAGCCTTGAGCTTTCTCGGCTGCTTTAAGGGGGGCTGGGGTCACCCTTGGGATGCAACCTTGAACTCTGAGAGATTAGGTTATTGTTTGTTTACCTCCTTTAATGTGGGGAGGCGGGAATGGACAAAATCGCAAGCTGAGAGTCTGCAGTAGTTTTTATAGGTCAAGGCGGAGGCCTAGTTGAGAAGAGGGCTCAGAGGAACCTGGCTAAAAACTGGTTGAGGAGAGAATCTTTTTTTTTTTTTTTTAAAGATTTTTATTTACTTATTTTTAGAGGAAGGGGAAGGGAGGGAGAGAAACATCAATCGGTTGCCCCTTGCACACACCCCAGCTCCGGGCGCAACCCAGGCCTGTGCCCTGACCAGGAACTGAACTGGTAACCTTTGTGGGGCAAGGCCCAACCTGCTGAGCCACACAAGCCAGGGCGAGGAGAGCATTTTTCTCTGGGCACTGGGGACACACCCGCACCCAGACTGTTCTTTGGGGAAGAGTCCTCCCAAGTTGGGTGCAACTGCAGGACCTCAGGGGCACCCGGACACTGTTGACAGTCACACCAGGACAACAGGTGTAAGCCAGGACTGTCCTGGGCACAGCCTGAGCCTGGTCACCTCATGGTCTGGTCACAGCGACTTCTGCTCATGCCCTCGTTCCTCACAGGCTGCTTCACGGTCCTCTCTGCGAGGCCCTTCTAGCCGGGGCCCTGTCTGGGACGCCCTTTCCGTGGGCCCTGCACAGCGCCATCTGTTCACTGGACTCCGCTCCCACATCTCTCCTCTGGGAGAGGCCTTCCCTGCTGCGCCGGCAACACCAGGCCGCCCCTGCCGTCCCCGAGGGCTCTCCCTGCCCTCTGAGGCACCGTGGCCCAGCTGACTTGTCCTCCCTGACCGCCTGCACACTCGCTCCAGCCCACAGGCGATTCTGTGTTCCCTTCTCCCCGCCCGTTGCACACTGGGTCATCACCTTGTGCAGGACATTCCTCTGCCATCAGACCAAGGCAGGGACCGGGTTGGTCTGCTGGCAGCCATACCCTCTGACTGGGCACAAGGGTAGAGAGAGAATGTAGCCCTCTCCTGACCCCATCCCTTCCACAAAAGAAGACACTCTGCTCTTCTCCACTTTGCACAAAAATGTATTTCTGTGACACCCCAAAGTACAGACATTTACCCAGACCCCAGGTGGTAAAGCAATGCGATGTGAGCTCTGCCTGGGGGATTGGGGGCGGGGGCGGTGGCTGGCTCAGGCCACCTGAGCACGGGAGGCAAGGCCAGCTGCAGCCCATCTGCCGAGCTGGGGGAATGCAAGGCAGCTGCCTCTTCCCGGGGCTGGGAGGGAAAGACTCCAGCACGCAGCGGCCAGGTGCCTCCCCACGGGCTGCTCCCCCGGCCTGCTCTGCGTGGAGGCAGAAACGCTAGGAGAATCCAAAAACAAGCCCGGGCAGGAGGAGAGAGAAAAGCCGTGCCCCAAGGCTGCTTGCAGCGTCAGGCCTGTCCCCAGGCCCCTGGTTCCCAAGGGGCCTGCTCACCCCATCTGTTCCCCAAGAGAAGCAGTTCGGGCTACGTCAGGGAGCACAGATAGCTGATACACCTGCGGCTCACACTTCTCTGAAACTCAGGCCAGAAGTTTCCCAGGTAAAGCCGCGGGCAGGGCGGGAGGGCGCCCACAGCAGGCCGTGCAGAGTGCTGGACAGGAGGCCTCCGCCTGCCGCTGCTGCGGGAAAGGCTGGCGTGGGGGGGCGTCTGCCTGAGAGCTGTGGGGTCGTGTGGCACAGGGCACACAGGGGTGAGTGACACAGGCTCAGTTCTGCTGGTGGGGTGCCTGGGCACCTTGGGTGCTGCGGGCAGATGAAGGGTTGGGGGGTGAGCAAGCCCCCAGTCCTGGAAGGTGCTGGCTTCCGGGACTGGGGCAGGTTCCGGTATGTTTGGCAGGAGGGGCAGTGGATGAGCCCGGGACTGGGGCCTTCAACAGCCTGGGACCTGGTGGGAGACTAGGAGGCAGCCTCCATAGCAGCGTGGCCTCAGGCAGGCCTGGCCAAAGAGCGGCAGGGCCACCGTGAGCCCCACTCCTCGAGGGGCCTCCGGGGCCGGGGCTGCCGAGGCCTAGGCGCGGCTCCCTTCCTTGTCCCAGATGGCCCACAGCTGGGAGCACCAAGGCCCTCAGAAGACTCTGGGGTTAGTTCTAATCCCCAACCCCATCAGCCGCCCCCCAGGAACCCAGATGGGGTTCTCAGGCTTGGTGGGTGGGTGAGGGTGCTGGAGTGGGCTGTTAAAAGCCTGCTGCCTCTCCTAACAGGAAGCGAGGCCAGGGTCTGAGATAGCTGGGAGAGGACCAGACACTCACAACGTTGCAGGCGTTCAGTCTGCTGGGGGTAGAGTGTGGCAGCGCTGGCGGCTTCGCGTTGGGGCTTGAGAATGGCCAAGGAAGCTGCGAGGACTCAGGGAGTGTTTTTGTTTTTGTACAGAAATCATATACACAAAACTTCACACTTCCTAACCAAAAAAAAAAAATAATATATATATATAATATATATATAT